TTTTATTTCATTTTAAAATGTTACTGTAAAATTACCACATTCTTTTTTAATGTTTTCAACTTTTTCAGTCCTATTCTACCTTTAATAAGGAATACATAAAATAATTTAAATAATTGTGAACATTTTTACCCATTTTGAATCACTAATCAAAATAGACAGCTTTGGAAAAGGAAATAAACCCCAAAGAATAAATACTGGATTTGTTGTTGTTGTTTTATTTTTAAGCTAATCTTGAGTTAAAACATTATATTGATAAGAGCAAGTAGGGTTATGAACTAGTATTTTAATCCTGTTAGTATTTATTAAGTTTTGTGCTCTTGCAACACATAAAATTGAATTTAACAAACAGAGTAGTAGGTGTTAACAGATGGGGAAAAAGTTGGTAGAAATTTCTCCACATAATAGTCTGTTTCCTTCCAAAATTAAATCATACATTGTTCAAAAAGACTAACTCTCTACAATTTTAGCTGTTATATGAGTAAAATTTCTAATTTGAATAGATAATTTAAATAACTGACTTTATTTTTCATTGAAAGTTTTATAGAGCAAATTTTTAAAGCCCAAATTTTAAACCCTATTGCTAAAAATACCCTAAATATTAAACTAGTGTGCCCAGAATATATATAATTGTTTTAAGTAACAAAACTTTTCTTATAATTCATTAAGAAATCATCAATTCATCTTAATCAATAATCTAAATTTCTCCACCTTTTTATTTTCTTCTTTTTTTAATTTTTGGATTGGTCTTAAAAATACATAAATACTGAAAAAATCTTTAAAATACAAATGTAGGCACTAGCAGAACCTTTCATTACTCATTTATTATACTTTTAAAAGTCCCAATAACAGTTGTATAATATTTACTGATCAGAATATATTAAGTATTGCAAATTTGTACATATCTAGGTTTCTTGAAATAAAACATAAATAGATAATAATACTATTTGAAAGTGTGTGGTTTACTTCCGAAATTTAGGTTTAGAGGAGTACTACGAAGAAGAGCAGATACAGCTGTTTTTTTACAATTTAAACTCTTAGTGTTTTAATGTCAAGGACCTCCAGTGTGCTAAAGAGCAAGGAAGACAATTTTGAGTCTGAGCTGCTCTCATCCAACCATGGTGTTTCCCATGGTTTCCTGTGCATCTGAAAGGTGGACAGTGGAAGACTGAAGAAGAATCAATGCCTTTGAAGTGTGGCATTGGTTGTTGTTGTTATGTACCATCGAGTCGCTTGCAATTCATAGTGACCCTATGTACAGCAGCCTTAAACCCTGCCCTATCCTGTGCCAATAGCACTGCCTCTGACACACCCATCCCGATCACCCCAGTCACTGAATCAATCCATCTCATAAAGGGTCTTCCCCTCCTGCGCCATCCCTCCACCCTCCCAAGCATGTTGTTCCTCTCCAAAGACCTGTCCCTCCATACAGTGTGTCCAGAGTAGGTCAGACGAAGCCCCAGAATCCTTGCCTCCAATGAGCAGCCGGTTTTAACCCTCTCCAGGATGAATCTATTTGTTTTCTTGGCAGTCCCGGGTACATTCAATACTCTTCTCCAGCACCACAGCTCAAAGGCATCAATTCTCCTTCTATCCTCCCTAGTCATTGTCCAACTCTCTGATGCATAACAAGTGATTGCAAAGACCATAGACTGTTGAATATCGCATGGAGTGCCATAACAAATCTGTCTTGAAAGAAGTGCAACCACAGTGCTCCTTAGAAGAAAAGATATCAAAACTTCATCTAACTTAGTTTGGCTCTATTTTCAGGAAGAACCAGTCCTTGGAGGGAGACATCATCCTGGGATAGGTGTAGGGTGAGAATAAGAAATTGAGACCTTCAACAAGACTGCCATGAGCATGAGAAGTAAGGATATTGAAGGAAAGAGAGAAATTCAGGTATGTTGTTCATAGGGTTGCTCTGAGTCATCGTTGACTCAGTGACACGTAACAACTGTACAGACAGAAAACTCAGGACTATGACCAGTAGTTATACCAGTAGTTAAGTGATGACAGAAAAGTTACAATGTCCCTACTTGTCAGCCATGCTTTCATGAAGATCAGAAACCACCGTCCGTCAGGTGACTGATAGCCTTTCCCTGGTCTATCTCAGATCTGCTTGAGGCCAGCCCTTAATTTTTATCTGGTGCCAGGGCTGTGAACAGCCCTACACTTAGTCCTTTTCAGAGGCATAGGACTGTGCTATGACAGGCCTTCAGTCAGACCCTGAATTAGTAGGAGCACTACCCACTACCTCTGATTAAGATTCTTGCCTCTCACTGGGCACCCTTGCCAACCATGTGACATGACTACATTTGGAGTAGTCCACGCTCTGCAGAGTGTATCATACTTGCACATTTATGGTTGGCTATAACTTCTTCATTGTAGTCACCTGTGACTGGGAACCCTGCTGGGCCCCATTTTCTAGACTGGCCAAGACACAGTGCCTGGCCGGGCCATCTAGTCTAGGCTCCTCTGAGGCCAGTAGTTACTCTGCTCTAGATTGGGTGCCCCGCCTCTCAGCACCTACTAAACTAAAAGAGTATATAACAGGGATCAAATCAAGAGGCCTCAAACATGTCTCAAACAAACTGACATGATTACTGCTGCTGTGTGTTATGTGTCATAGAGTGGCCTGCAACTAATAGAAACCTTATAGAAACAGCTCTGATACAATACAAAAAGAATCCACAATGTATGAGGCAACAGATAGCTTCAGACCACCAAAAAGGAGAAGTCAGAATAGCATAGCACAAAAAAAGTGACCAAAATTAAAGAACCAGGAAACCATGCAGAAAAAAAAACTTGCAACTTCTGATAAAAGAATTTAGAAGTATAGTAGTGTCTTTTATGGTTTGAGTGTGTGTGTGTGTGTATATATATATAAAAAATTTAAAGCGATAAAGTAACAGTAACTAAGGACAAAAGAGTAGAACTTAATTGAAGGAAAATTGTTCAATGTTTGTTGTTATATGCCATCAAATGGCTTGAAACTCATAGCAGCTGTATGTACAACAGCTCTGAACCCTGCTCTGTCCTGTCCCACATTATTGTCTCTGACATACTTACCCCCATTACCCCAGTCACTGAGTCAATGCATCTCATCGAGGTTATTAACTCTTGTGCTGTCCCT